TTTTTATTCTTGAATATGAGTAAGGACTGAGCTGCTCGGATTGAATTGGGCAGGTCATTCCACCAGGAGGGAACAGTTTATGTATATAAAAAAAAAAGCCTAATTAAGAGTATATATGTTTATGAAACTTTATGATTTAGCCTATAAATAATGTTCCATGAGTGTCTGTTGTGCATCAAAATAGACCATGCATTTTTATCAATGATCATCGTGTATCATCCAGGTACAGTTCAACACATGGTCAAAGAACAGATGACACAGAATAACATCAGTGTAGGTTGCAAAATGTTTATTAGGCCACATATGGTGGTGAATGTTATTTCATTCATTGCCAGAAGATGACCGTTTTAAAACTTAAAAGGTAACAGAAGAGCATAAAAATAAATAATTGAAATGGTAGTTGGATCTGCTATTGGAAACCTGTGTAGCTGTAATCATCCAGGTGTTCTGGGATTTTTGGTTTCACTGTGCAAATGGAACCATAAACCTTGTGATAATCTTAATTGGTAAATTTACATTTGTTTGTAAAAATGTTTAACTATTTTACATTGGAAACTGGAAAAAAAAAAAATTTCAGCAACATGCTTTTGCAGCACTGTATGATTGTATCATGGTTTACAACCAGACAGCAGACAATTCACAACCAGACAACATGGAGAATGTTGAACGGGGTAAGTTGTTTTTATACAGTCTATGGTTAAGACATGGATCATCACACCAGTATACAAAAATTAATAAATATGTCCACAGATAGGTTTATATAGGTTTATTTCATTTGTTGTAGGCAGTGATGTATTCAACAAATTATAACAACTAATACCAGACAAAGTTTTAAAGCATCACAAGCTACAAATGAAGAGCACAAAGAACTGAAATCAATGTATAGGCAACAACTAGCTGAAGTTTGCTGTGCTTTATCCTACCATTACACAAAGAATGCCTGCAATCATTCAGTCAGGGACGACTGCACAAAACGTGCACTGTAAACTAATAAAAACATTATAAACCGTTACGAAATGATAAACACATGTAGTTTGCAACACTAAATATGTTTACTTTAATATATATATATATATATATATATATCCCATTAAACGTGCTGAAATACAAGGAGTGTGAACTGAATTCTCAGTTCCACCTGGTTAGCGCATGTCCGGGAAACTAATGAATATTCATATATGCCCCGCCCACTGAAACAAAAAATCTCGGAAACCGAAAATCTCGTAACACCGGCGCCGCCACACGCTCGCGTCATGGTTTGGTACTGTCATGAACGCGTGTCCACAAGTGACGCAGTAGAGACGATTTTAATTCGTTATTTTTGTTTTCTTTGCGCAAAAAAGTATTCTCGTAGCTACTACTTTGTCGATCATCTTGGTACTTTTCTGGACCTTGAATGTGGTAGTTACCTTGCTGTCTATGGGAGGGTCAGAGAGCCCTCAGATTTCATCAAAAATATCTTAAAATTGTGTTCCGAAGATGAACAAAGGTCTTACAGGTTTGGAACAACACAGGGTGAGTAATTACTCACTTTTTGTTCCTGTGGCTCAGTGGTAGAGCATTGCGTTAGCAGCACAAAAGGTCATGGGTTCAATTCCCAGGGAACACACATACTGGTAAAAAAAAATGTATAGCCTGAATGCACTGTAAGTTGCTTTGGATAAAAGCGTCTGCTAAATGCGTAAATTATTATTATTGTTATTATTATTAATAATTAATGACAGAATTTTCATTTTTGGGTGAACTAACCCTTTAAAATGAGGAGAGAGACAAAAGTAGTTCACAATTTGTAAAAGGCTGTTTATTTGGGCTGCACAAAGTAACAAACATGCATATGACTATGACGACAACAACAATGGGGGAGTGAAAATATAGAATATGGGATAAGTAATCTCATAAAAGACTTTTAATTTATTAGGTTCCCTGATGAGTAATCTGTGAAGTATGAGTCATATGTTAACTGGAGAAATGAGTGGAGCCTCGTGGTCAGAATCCACCTGTTTTCGCCCCCCCCATCCTATTCAGCGCGAGCTCTTGAAAGCTTGCAGCATCTACAGTATTTCGTGATTGGAAAGTGGAACAAAAGCCTCAATAGGCCTACCACCCACGTATATGGTCTATTAATGAACTTATTAAACCACTTGCTTGGTGCTGTGGATATTGTGGATAATGTTTTGAAAAAGTGACTGAATGTCAAACTGCTGTTTACCATTCTAGCTGGAAAACCCCATTTGTGATTATTCTGTTAATGCCAGTCGAATAATTCCAGTTTAAAGCCATGTTTTAATTTCCCTGTCGTACTCTATAGCCTATAGGAAAAAATGAGATAGAGGTAAGAAATAGCTATAGTCTGGTTAAAAAAAAACTGTAGGGAAAAAAGAAGGGACCAAGAGCATTTCACAATCTTTGCGGATATGACAAAAAGTGTACAACAACCCTGAACTGTAATGTCTTTTAAAACAGTGGATCTTAATCTTTTTTATTCCTAGGCCCTGCATTACAATTTTTTGAAGTTTAGAACTTTTCTGAATACACTGAACCCATTTCTAATAGCCTTTTATGAAGTCAACTTGCAGCCCCTTGAAAGTGTGCTGAGGCACCACTGGGCCCCAGTCCCCCAATTTAGAACCTCTGTTTTAATACAGATGCAAAAAAAGTTTTAACCCAATAGCCAAGGAAAGATAGTTCTACTTTTTTATCTGGTTAACCTTACAAAGGTTTATGGGAATCAGCTTAATATGACAAAACAACTGAAGAGGAATTGAAAAGTGAAGACATAGCTGCAACAACTTTAAATGTAAAGAATACTTAGAATGAGTGAAGAAGTAACCAAAATGAGCAAAGTATTACAAGAATAAAGGTTTAACCCTAGAAAAAAAAACTGTTTCCAGGACGTTAGTGTTGATTTTACAAAAACTAAATATAGCTTTGTTAAATGAAGGTCACATTCAAACTGTCTTAGCTGTCTTTCAGATGTTTTGAATGTATAAATTTAAAAAAAAAATGTTTCCCTTAAATCCATCATAAAATAAGAATATTTAACATTTTAGTTTTTATTATGTGAAAAATCTTTCTATTTTTGTAATTACATTTGTCCCACAGTTTTTCAAGTTACTGTATTTGTTGTCCAAGTAGACAAGAGTGTCAATGACTAGCATGATATGACATTTGAGACATATGATGAAAAATCTAATCTTTTGCTGTTGTGCATACATCAAATGATAGCTATAAAAATAGCTTTGGCAAAAAAAGAAGAAGAAGAAGAAGAAAAAGAAGAAGAAAAAAAAACTCAGTTAAAATGTAATTTCCACCACAATGTTAAACTAAACTTAGTACATAATTTGAGATATGATGGAAATGTTCATGACTTTCAGAAAAATGTCATTTATTCAAAAATTTATAATTTTTCACAAAAATATAGATTAGCATAATTGGTTTATAAGAACAAGCTGCACCTGAAAAACAAATGTTCCTTCAAAAGAAAAACAAAACCAGATGTAGTTTGAGTTTCTGTCATTTGTATTTACATTCTAAAATATACGTGAGAGGATGTTTCTTTTCTTTTTCCTGATTCATATAGGTTTAGAAACATGTAGACAAAAAGGTTACCGTAAAGGTCAAAGACAATTTAAAGACGAAAGATCTCTTGGGATCCAGAGACAAAGATTTTGATAATTGACCAAGTTTAGAAAATGAAAAAAAAACAACCAAACAAACTGACAATCAGGGTATTTAAAAAGCATTAGTTTTACAGAAATATTTTATGATCCTCACTAGTCAAGTAGGCTAAGTATAGTTATAATAAAAATAAAATAATATTGGCACATTATTATTACGAAATCCTAAAATGGCCTGGGCAGTATTTGTTTGCACTGTAAATTTAATCGAATAACAGAGCATTTGGACTGTATATCTGTAATTATGTGCTTCATATAGGAACCAATGATGGCAGTTTAGCCTAATTCTAGTCTAAAGCCTAATTTAGCCTAAAGACGGCCTACTTCCAGTTTCAAACTGCTTTCAAATCCCTCCATTGTTATTCAGTGGGATCTATATCTGGACAAATTGCTTGTCGTTTCAGAGCAGCTTAGGAACACATTTTCTTGCTGTCCATGACTTTTGATGCAGGTAGCGCTATTAGATGCTGGGTTCATGATGCCAATTCATATATGGTTAAAAAAAGTTCATTACGGTAAAGAAATGCCTGTCTGAAAATAGACAAAATATCCAGCTTGACAAAGGCAGCATTTTCTGTTCCTTCTTTTGCAATTTCTGTCTGTCCAACAAGGCACTTGTGTTTACCATCAAACTATTTTGGTAAACAAGTTTCAGCAAAATGTTCATACACTGATTATTCAACCAGTACTCTAAAATTTCCATCTTAAAACGGGAATCTGAGTCTAAGACTAGCTTTTTATCTTCAAGTAATTTATACTTTAATATAAATACTATTTATATTACTTGCATCATATCAAATGTTTTACTACCACTAACTTATGTGCTGTTTATAAACTCTGCAAAAAAGAAACATCCCTGTATTTTAAAGATAATTTTGAAAAATCCAAATAAGCTTTACAGATATTTATTGGAAGAGGTGCATTTCTTTTTCTTTTTGGATTGCCTTTTTTTTAGTTAGTTATTGTTTATATAATTATATATATTGTTTAGTTACACACACACACACACACACACACACACACACACACAC